TATATACATACCTATACCATACATAAAAATGACAAAAAATTGCAAATTATTTTAAGTTAGAAATTCATAAAAAATTTTTTTTTTAATTCTAAGATTTTAAAATGTAATACGAGATTCCTCATAAGTTTTTCCACCTTGATTAAAAAAAAAATTTCTAGAAGAAAGTCAAATTAAATTTTTATGACCGTTTGAAATTCATATTTTTACAACATTTGATATTCGCTCGATTTCTCATGTAACGATTTTCTTATTTTGTTGTAATTAAAAAACGAATGACTGTATATATTTGAAAATTTTACTGAATGTTTATATTAGCATTTTCTATACACCATTCAATTTTCAAATTAATTTGACTATTTTTGAGCTGTTTACAGACATTGTCAGTTTTCAATATTTTTAATTTTTTTTTTCTATAAATATCAATAAAAATGTATTTGTTGGGCGAAAAAGCTTGAAAATTTAATACGAGGCTCCTGATATATTGTTATAATAGCAGTCGCAAAATATTAAAAATACATTAGCACAATTTTTTTTATAGGCATTTGAAGTTCAAATTTGGACAAAATTTATCAAAATATCGAAAATTATCAATCACTGTAATTAAAAAATTATAAAATGTTCAGTTATTATAACTAAGGATTGGAAATTTAAAACAAAGATTCTCATAAATAGTTCATACTGTAACCAAAAAATCTAAAAAATACATAAACACAGTTTTTTTTTTACAGACATTTTAAATTCAAATTTGGACGAAATGTTTAATATTTATGTTCTTTTACCCAAACTGACATACCGTCTCCGCTCAGAATCGTTTTTCTTATACAATGATATTATATCATTGAATTCAAAATTAATACCTTCCATTATACAGTGACCCCTAGTAACCTACTGTACAGCAGAGCGACATCCACTTACCCGCTTTTTTTTTTAATTTTGTGTATTTTCTTCAATATTTTTATCGTTTGGTGTAGATACACTTGGTGACACAGGTATTAATATTACTTTTTTATATCAAACCTTTGAGTGGAGTACAAAGCTTCTAGCGGGATTTTTTTCTAGCATTACTCATAATCTAATACTAAGGTTTCATAAACACAATAATTACACTAAAAATCAAGAGTTTGATGAAGACTCTTTAGAAAGAAAAAATGTTCAGCGTCATAATAATAAAGCCAATATTTATCCAAATTTAATGGTTTAAATCCATCAAAATTAAAAAATTAAAAATATTTAATATTAAATATTTGCACCCATTTTTATTTATTATTTTAAAACTAAGTAATACAAATATTTGTATCATATTTATTTATTAATATATTTATTTATTTAACTTGTATACCTACAAATTAATTTTACATGGGACTATAATTGTTTTTTTATTACATCGCAAAACAAATATGTAAAATTCTAAGGGCATAATATTATCTATATATATAAAAATGGAGACAAATAATTCGAAATTGCATCAGTTGAGAACGGCTGGGCCGATTTTGCTCAAATTTTTTTAAGATGTTCGTAATTGCCAGGTGAAGGTTTTTACGAAAGAAAATTTTTAAAAAGTCAACCGAATAATTAGAAAAACTGCAAAAACTATTTATTGATGTCTGGGATTTGAACTCGATACCGTTGTCTTTATTTACTCTATGGTATATTATATTATATTATATTGGTTGCTATTGGTTAATCGGGCATGTTTGTTGATTTGTATTATTATTTTTTGTAAATATATCTTATATATAAATTAATGACCTATGGGAAGAAGATACGCTAATTTAAAAAGGGTTAAATTTGGTTTTTTTTATTCATCGGATTTTAGTACGGTTAGGTTAGGTTAAGATTTATAGGTAGGTGGAATTAAGTAAATACGTCAAACTTGGTATAACTTTGGTACTTTTTGAGTTAAATCATACACTTACGTACAAACAGCACGGGGTCCGCGATCTACCGCAGGTAAATTACCTATCTGATAATGTACTGCTGGCTGTTGCAATTCAGAATTTTTATTCCGGGCAACAGAAAATTTAAGATAAATATAGAACATCATACACCGAATATTAAATAACGCATTGAACAATGTTTGAGTCATATAGAGTTGGTACATTTAACGGGAAACGAAATGCACGGGATCAGCTAGTTTATTATATTTTATTTTATTATTACATGCATAACTTACTATGCCCTTTTTACATATAGATAATATAATGTACATATTATGATATTTCATAAAATAAAAGCATAGGTAGTATACTAGAATATAATATACGTCAGTTACACTATCTACGCTACCTATACCATTAATTTAAGCACGGACTAAGATATACAGGACTGGACACGACAAGGTTGGAGGGTGTGGGGGGGTTGACTACGAAATGTTTTACAACAGGCAGTGTTCGGGGGGATATTTTCCTTTTAGCATTACTAGCGCCGTCCTAGTGGATACTTATGGAACTAGAACACATCATACAAATTTCTAGTTCCATAAGTATCCACTAAGACGGCGCTAGTAATGCTAAAAGGAAAATATCCCCCCGAACTCCGCCTGTTGTAAAACATTTCGTAACCACAATATTCATCTCGTGTCCAGTCCTGTATATCTTAGTCCGTGAATTTAAGTTACCTATCAATTATAATAAATTGTCATTAATCTAAATGTTTTGTTTCAACTAACTATTATATATAACAAATGTGGTCTGTACATAATTTAATTTTAGTTTATATACATTATATGATATTATGATCAATGAACATGTTTAGTTTATACAGATTGCTTTTTTTACATAGGTACTACAAATTGCAATTATATAATTAATATATTATTTTATTTATATTTATTTAATAAACATTATGGACAACATCAACTTCATATTATATGTATTATATGTTTAAAATTAAAATAAGAAAATACATCAATATTAACTATATAATCAAAACTATTTAAAATGTAGCTAATATTTATTTAATAGATTAAATTATCGTACAAACATTGCTTCATGTCACTTATAAGTTACAACGTAAAATACGTTACACTTTTACTAAAAAATCTATTTAATTCTAATGAAATTATTATTTTACTTGTATTTTAAGAAGTAGATAATTGGGTTAGAAATATAAATCGAGTTATGGAATATAATAATTGTTATGCTTAATTCATTGGTTAATATTTTTATGCAAACAGGAGCTTTAATTAAAAAGTAGGTTTGCGACGTATGAGCTAGGAGGCAGCGCACCATGTAGAATTCATAGGCGACAATTTACGCAACGGTCTGTAATGAAGCGAAACGTCCTGTACGACTGTCCGTGAAATAATAATGTACCTCTCCCGCGATTACAACAAGCGGGCCGCGTCGCGTACACGATGGGCGTGGTTACGGCCTACCGCGACGGCGGCGATACGGCGCACAACGCCATCTCTTGAGCGTTGCATTCGTTTCACTTTTACTAGGACGGCCTCTTAAGAGTGCCCAGTCGCTAGGACGAAAACTTTACTCTGTTCAGGTTAAGGGTGCCCAGTCGCTCGGACGAAAACTAGTACTGTTCCCGCATTAATCTTGCTACGCTGCTCAGTATTTATGCGCGAGTTTTGGCACTCTTAACCTGAAGTCCTGAACAGAGTTACCATCGTTGACAAAAAAGCAATATATCGAATGTCCGTAAACGGCTCAAAAAGAGTCAAAATATTTTAAAAATTGTATGGTGTATAGGAAATGCTACTATAAATGTTCAGTGAAATTTTCATGTATCTACAGTTATTTGTTTTTGAATTACAACAAAATAAGGAAATAGTGAATATCCAATGTTGTAAAAATTTGAATTTCACACTCATAAAAATTTAATTTGACTTTCTTATAGGCATTTTTTTTTGATAAAGGTAGATAATCTTATAAGGAATCTTGTATTAAATTTTACAACCTTAGATTTAAAAAGAAAAATTTTTACGAGCACCCCTACCCTGGCTACACCACTTCATCATTCCCAATGGTAAATAGTAACCTTGATTATAAATATTATTTTTTTTTTTTTATAGTAATAATCATAATAGTAATTAGTAGTTTTCACAATGTTTGGCGGTTGAACATTTGCAAATAATCAATGAAATATAATAGTCAACACTATTTTTTAAATAAAATTTTTTTCATGTAAGAATAGTCTAATCATTTATCAAAATATCCTTCATTAAATAAATTGTACAAGATTGACTCTATTTATTTGATCATTTTTTTTAACGTTGAACCTATATAGATGATATTTGATTTAAGTTGTTATCCCCTAGATCTTGGTTAATATATAAATATATAATGTATAAGAAGGTACAATCATGTAATAAATACTTATTAAAGTATTCAAAATGTATGCACAGAAATACTAATTTTAATTTTTAACGTCAACATCATAATACAAATTGTATTTAATATGAATGTTTAATTTAAAAAAAATAAAATAATAATTTGTTAACTATTACACATTGTATTTATTTTTAAAATAATTTAAATATGTGCATACAAATAATTAATATAATACAAAGGTGTTTTTAATAGTACTAAGACTGTCTTAAATATTCTGTAACTTAAATACATAATTTACAATACATTTTGTATGTTTATTTTTTGTACATACCTCTGACCTCATATTATGTTATAAAAGAGGTTAATAAATTAAACAATCATACATTATTTAAGAGAGAAATATCAAATACTTTTAGTAGTAGTGAGGCCTCTGCTAATTTTTGATAAAAAGTTATACATTTAAAAAAAATTAAATATTTACTCTAAAGAACAGTCAAAGAGAAAATCAATATTTTCAGTGATAAACTAAAAATGGTTCAGTCTTAAATATAAATGATAATAACTGTTAAATAGAAACTATTTATAAAATGTAAATATGGGAAAAGTTGGGTGGATTTTTTATTTTTCTCTTCTGGAAACTTTTTACAACTAATAATTTTTTATATAAAAATTGATCTAAAGTGAGTTATTCTTAGTAAAAATATTCATTGCATATTATTATGTTATTATATCAATTTTATTTATTGCATTACCAACATTTAATTTAAAACTTTTAAGTTCTTCAGGCTTATGTACCCAAGTGCCAAGTTTTAATGACTTAAATGTTGATAATAATTCATTTTTAGCAGCTACATAATTCTTATTTTTATTTTTCAATGAATCATAAAATATATTTGTTTCATTATCAATAAGAGTTGATAAATTATTTGTAGCACTACACAGTTTAATATATTCTTTAGCCAATGAGGTTTTACATACTCTGGACAACTTATTTTCAACTGTTCTACCCATACTTCCTTTAATAATTTCAATTCCTTCATTTATAATCCAATTTACACAGTGAGGTGATAGTGTAACAGATCTACGAGGAAGTATACCGTAACCACGAAGTTGAGGTTTCTGTAGTCTATAAGTAAAAATATATAGTTATGTAATAGAGATTTTAACATAAACAAATTGTTATTTACTTATAATTTTGTGGTAATTTAACAATACTGTTTTCAACACGACCATAAATAGTCCGCTTCATATGATTTATGTTGAACATACTTCCAATTGATATTGATTCTAAATAGATGGGTTCAACAAAATTTGATAATAAATTGCCTTGAAGTCCAAGTACATTCCATCGTGTTAGTTTGTCTGAACATGACATAGTAACAAGACGTTCACCCTGAGCAACGCCATCGTATGTCTGAACTTCTCTACCAAATACAGATACAGTGCCTGCACCATTTTCGATTTTTGATCGTAATAAACCACGGTTTAAACGATTATACTGTTGTTCTGTATCACAGAAACTGAACACTCTAGCTTCACCACATGGAGCAGTGTTTATGTACAAGTGAAATGCTAAATCTTCTGCTAATTTGAACTTACATTTTTTACCATCTGCGATAAATACGGGGACAAATATAGAAGGAAGGCCTTTCACTGATTCCATGAGTTCTTTATAAAAGAATTTCAATAGGCATCTGCGGGTTAATATTTCTGCGTGGCAATCATGTAAAGATTCACCACTTAGGCTCAAATAGTTACCAGATAAACATTTTGTACCAGTAGCCAAACAAATTACTTCTGCCGAATTCAAATCATCTTTGGTCATCTATATAAACAAACAATAGGTAAATTAATACACATTAAACAATTAATTATTTACCAATAATTCATTTACTTTAATAATACTTGCAATGACGGAGTATTCTTTAAATTTGATTTGATCAAATTCTAATTTTTGGTATACTATATCTGTAATTCTAGCAAAATGATCAATAATTTTAGCATCATTATAATCAGTACGCAACATTTCTATTTGATTTTTAAACTTATTATCTATTGGCTGCATATCATACAAGGATTTTAAAGCATTACGACATGCAATTTCTTTTGCTTCTTTTTTACTTTTCCCATAACCTATGTACTTATTACCAGAAACAATGACACTAATTGTTTCTAATATACCATGGGACTGCTCGTGTTCGTATATCAAGGTTTGTCCTGGAAATATTTCATGTAGGATGCATATTGCTGATATTTGATGTTCAGCCACTTGATGTTCTATTGCAAGTTTTTTTGATAGTGAGTTTTCTATCATATCGTCAGTACATTTTCTTTTCCCAACTTGTATATCACTTTCTACAGTATCATTAGCTTTAGAACTAGTATCATGATTTAAAGTGTATAAATTGAAGTTCTTTATTGCATCTATTTTAGCTTTTTTTTTTGAACACCCACATCCATCGAACCGAAGATCGTTTAAATATAATGAAATCTTAAAAGTAGGCAAATGTGAAGGTCCCTGGCATAGAAAAGGAGACCACTCATGATTAGAGTGAGTTTCATTGAAATCTCTTAATATAGTTGTATTTTCAGTATCCATTACTCCATTATCCATTAGCTCATCCGTACTTGTAAATAGTGTCAACTTAACTTACCAACAATAAAAACCATAATTTTTTGAAGTCTATAAAAATAAAATTTGTTCCAATTATAATGACATAAAATATTTTATTAGGTTCATTCAAAAATTAAAATGATAAACAAATAAATAACATAATATACATCTATAATTATTAATATACAATACCTAGTCTAACAGAGGCCGGGTTTCATACCGGATTGCACAAAAGTACAAAACATTTAATGAATGAATAGTGAGCTAATGGTCCTTAAGGGGATTCGATACCGCGATTTTCTGTTTATGTCTAACACACACGCGACATAGTATTGTAGACGTGTTTTTTGCCAAACATTCCAATTAATCTATTGAAACGATAAGATTTCTGAAAACAGATTTGAATTTCTCGTCAAGTCTACTTGAAATCGACTTTCCCACATTTTTGATTTTTTGATTTTAACTTCTCCAAAAATTGAAATAACAGAATTTTTAAATACTCTTTTTGAATATGACATTTTAAAAAATTCGGGTTATAATATCAAAAATGTGGGAAAGTCGATTTCAAGTAGACTTTATGACAAATTCAAATCTGTTTTCAGAATTCTTATCGCTTCATTGGATCAATTGGTATGTTTGACAAAAAACACGTCTAAAATACTATATCGCACGTGTGTTAGACAAAAACAGAAAATCACGGTATCGAATCCACTTAAACAAGATTTAGTGGTATACGATTTGTCCATTAAATTTAATAAATTGTTTATGCAACTCAGCATCAGCATGTTGTGCACAAATAAGGAATTGAGACTTTTTTTTTTTTTTATTGAACAAAAATGTATTTTTTTTTCTTTTCTTTTAGGCATTTTAAAGACCATTAAGGTCCATTGCCGCATCAACAACATCCCTCCACTTCTCCCTGTCCCTTGATACTTCTTCTCCATTCTCTATCCCTATTATTCTGAGGTCTTCCTTAATTCTATCTGCCCACCGTAAAAATGTATTTACAATCTGTATTTACATGTAGTACAATAAGTAAATGGGATGTGGGTTGATTAGGGGGAGGGGGAAGTCACCCAATGGTGGCACCCCGTGGAAATCGATTTAAGGAGAGAGTAGGTCCCTACACCAGTTCCTTTTCAAGCGCCTGGTTGGATTACCTGGGATTTGTTTAGATGATAGTTGAGTGATTATAGGATTTGAGTGAGTGCTGTATGTTTTGTGTGTTTTTTTGTAGGTGATCATAGCAAGATTATTTAAGGTTGGAATGCAGATGTCTTTATGAAATGATTCATTTGTTATATACCAGGGGGCACCTGATATTAATCGAAGACATATGGACTGGAATGCCTGAATTAATGGAATTGAGACTTACATTTGGGAACCAGTTTCCATTTTATTCAAATAAATAACTCGATAATTATTTTATTCTCACTCTAACTAGATATGTTTTACTAAAATAAATACTTACTTAATCAATACAACTTTTACAAACTATATATTTTACTAATATTACAAATATCAACTTAAAACAAACTTTGTTTTGTTAAAGATTGATTCATAGGCGCAATTTGGGAGGGGTCTATATTGAGCTTAGCCCCCTAGTTTTATTTAAGCACTCCTAAGTTTTTAAATATATTCATTCTTAAACCCACCTCATAAAAAAATTATGCGGGTCTGTGTTGATTTTATAAATTTAACCCCCCCAAATCAGTTGTCCAAATTGCGCCTATGAAGATTGTAAGATAGCATTACATAAAATTATAAAAATAATTTGTTAATATATGACTGATCCTTTAATTACAGCTAGGATTTTAAAAAGGTATAATAAAATTATCAGATTTTAAATTTATACACTTCTAAAAATTAAAAATTACTTAATAACTCAAACCAATTTTGTTAAAATCTAGTAGGTAACTGACATATTTTAACGTTTAACTTAAATTGTTGGTGTTGATATAACTATTAATAATAATTAACTTTCTTAAGTTTCAGCTACATGAAAGAATTTTTATCTATAAAGGTGCTGACTACTGAACGTCCAAATGATTTTTAGTACCCAAAAATAGTCTTAACTTACATTTTTTTTTTTTAAAAACGCATCACTGCAGTAAAAGTGTTAGCATTTGCTCAGAAGATAAAAATTAAGAAAAATGTTTGGCTCTCGGTTTGGCTGCAAAAATAAAATAACTTTTATATATCACTATATAGGTCACCAATTGGATATGGACCACAAACACTTTTTTTACGGACCCTGAGTTGTTTTTAAATTTTTATAAAATAAATATAAAACTATAGTCATACCTATAAAATATAAATTATGACAAAAATGAAATGTTTTCTAGTATAATTGTCTTTTAGGAGCGAGGAAGCTAGTGGTGTTCATTTTTTTACTCACTTTTATGCACCTACTGTACAGCAGAACGACATCCACTTACCCTCTATTTTTGAATAATTTTTCTATATTAGGTAATAATATTATTATAATAATTAAATCAACTAATATAAATATAAATAAAAAAATAAAATGTGTATTTATTAACATATGTAAGTCATTAAAACTATTTGGGACAGAAGAACATTTGATAAGTTTCAATACGGACATCCATAGAAATTAGTTAGGCGATATAACTGCAATATACCGTACCTATATCTAAAGAATTAAATTTCCATTTGGGTATAATATGTCTTTATAAGTATTGTTATAGGTATTGTTACACTAGGTATTCGTTGTATACCTACTCTAGTAGTCTAGTACCTATACTCACCAATACACCCCTGACGGCTACACTATACTGATGCAATGACAACAGTACACTATACAACACACAGACCCGATGTCCACCATCAGGCTCATGCGTCGTTGACACCACATTTAAATGAAATTAATAATTTTCCTATCTTGATTATTAAAAGTTGTTATTATAAATATCAGTGCCAGGCTGATTTAAATTTAAATTCTCATCATTGTTTATTAGTGACAACCCACATTTATAACTAATTCCGATTTCGTAATTCGTATTATAATCATTAATTATTAATATGCCTAAAAACATTTATTTGGATATACAGTCATACATAGTCACTTGTAGTAATTATTATTTAAAATTGTATTCGAAATTCGAATACTTCCGAGTGATACTCGAATACTGGATCAATTGTATGCCGAGTGCCAACAGACCCCCCTCCTAGAGATAAGCTTAGTAGACATTAAAGACAATAATAATAATATGTGTAAGGATAAGAAAGGTAAATAAGCGTGCTCATGAGTATTAGAGTGGGAGGATATTATAATATTTCGAAATAACGACGGAATACCATAATAGGTACCATGGCCCATGGGAATTATTATTTATTCTACCTATCTTGGCGGAGGGCGAACGAAAGTCAATACAATAAGCACAATATATCGATATCCGGACCAGGACGAATAACAATATAGGTACCTAGGTAAGTATTACTCGTTCACGTCCGTCGGAATATTTATTGCGTGAAAAACTAATAATATTGTAAGTAAAATAATATCCGCCACCAGAACACAACACTAACAACTATAATTATTAAAGAATAGGTACTTACGGTGAATAAATATGTAGTTAGTTATAACAATATAACTTGTAGTTGGGTTGCGGTGTAGTAAACCGTGGACGAACGACAGCCCATCGTGATCAGATTTCGATTTCGAGATTTATACTTTATAGTCACGAGTCTGTTATTGTATCGGGCGGCGGACATGGAAATACGGAATAAAAAGTTTATATGATATCATCGTCTTTAATAATTGTCTACCGTACTATTAATAATTAATATTATGCCGTAGAATTCGTACATCATAACCCATAACAATGGATAAAAATTCGTTCGGTTTTCAACCAGAGAAAAATTATTCTATGCTTCAAGCAAACACTATTACATGAAAAATGAATAGGTAATAATTAGGTATTTCTGCAACTTTTTGATACGCATTACGCATAGGGTTCGTCGACCACCACTGAACTAAATCTCCACTCCACATTCCCCCCACCACTTAGTCTGTGGTTCAACACATGTTGGCCGTGTAATTTAACGGCCAATGATATGAGGCGAACTACGACTAAGGTTGGGAAGGGTGGGATGCGCTAACCAGACTACTCCTCGTATTGTTGCGGACATACCTGATACCTATCTGTTTTGTCATGATACTATTATACGATAATAAAGATTACAGGACGCTCCTTGCTAAAATATAGTAACCACGGACTAAGATATACAGGACTGGACACGAGATGAATATTGTGGTTACGAAATGTTTTACAACAGGCGGAGTTCGGGGGGATATTTTCCTTTTAGCATTACTAGCGCCGTCTTAGTGGATACTTATGGAACTAGAAATTTGTATGATGTGTTCTAGTTCCATAAGTATCCACTAGGACGGCGCTAGTAATGCTAAAAGGAAAATATCCCCCCGAACACTGCCTGTTGTAAAACATTTCGTAGTCAACCCCCCCACACCCTCCAACCTTGTCGTGTCCAGTCCTGTATATCTTAGTCCGTGATAGTAACGAACAAAATATATTGTTATCATTGCTCCCCGAGTTTGTATATAATTTGCCTATACTTTGCTCGTAAGGAGTAAAATAGGAAACTCTAGGTGGATATTATAATATAGAGGTGTAAACACTTTAACCACTATAATATATTATGTCTATATCCACCTTGAGGAAACTGTTAAACAATCTCGGGTGGCTATCAATATTCTAATGTTATTTTGATAAGAAATAGTTCTCCAGTTTTTTATGCTAGTGTGCATCTGTATTCTGTATAATAGGTACTGTCGTAAATAGTATTTGCTTCAAGTTGAACAGAATCGAGGGTAGACTAATATTACTCTATGGGGTTGACTCGTAGAGCGGATGAAGTGATAAGACAATCTCAGACGCATAAAGACCTATAAACTAATGGGCAGCGTCTACCACACGATTTGGGTGCATGTTTTCGAAAATCAAGTTTTAGAATGACGAGATTTAGAAAATCTATATTTTAGAATATGAAACTATTAGAAAATCTGTGTTTTAGAAAATAAAATAAATAAATACAGAGTTTTTAAATAAAATACTGTCTTATTTTATAATATAATTTACGATACAGAAATAATGTAGAAATTATGATACTTTTCCAAATCTGTAACTAGTTTATGTTTGATCGGGAAGACGGGAAATATCAAAATACATAATATTTATAAATATAATACTTTGTTACCTACTTAATAATCGTTATCAAGTTTAGTTATGAAGAATGAAGATTTATATAATATGTTATTTTCTATTTAAATAAATTGGCTGAAGAAAATGGAATCTTTTTTAAAGAAAATAACAATTTGGAAATAATAACCGATTTCGAACAGGCAGCGATTAATGCAATGAATAATTATTTCCGTTTGTAATCCATTCGGCATGTTTTTTTCATTCACAACAGTTGATATATCTCGTAAGATCCAAGCGTTTAGGTTTGGTTACAAAGTACAAAAATGTGCTAGAGTTCAATTTTTGACAATTTATATACGAGTAAACAGTAAAAAAAAAAAAGGTGGGTAAGTGGATGTCGCTCTGCTGTACAGTAGGTTACAAGTGGGTCACAGTATAATTGATGCTATTAAATTTGAATTCAATGATATAATATCATTGTATAAGAAAAACGATTCTGAGCGAAGACGGTATGTCAGTCTAGGTTTAAGACAAATTATATACATATCTATGGTATTAAAAAAAAATTTACCTATAATAAATTCCAAATTAATCATATCACATTATCACAATATCCATTAGGTACTTATAACACGTTATACACCAACAACAAACCCTGATACTATCATATATATATAATAGTACACTTTAGAAGTTTCAAGTAGGTACCCACGAATAATATTTTATAATCACAACAAAATAACTAGGTTTTTTAATATGTAATTTCGTCCAAATTTGAACATAAAATGACTATAAAAATAAACTGTGATAATATATATTTTAGATTTTTCGGTAAGAGAATTAACTACTTACGTGGAATCTTGTTTTAAATTTTCAATCCTTAGCTATAAAAACTGAACATTTTATAATTTATTAATTACGATGATTAATAATTTTCGAGATTTTGAAAAATTCTGTCAAAATTCGATGTTAAAATGCTTATAAAAAAAAATTGTGCCTATGTATTTTTAATATTTTTCAACTGATATTGTAACAATATATCAGGAGCCTTGTATTAAATTTTTACACTTTTTGGCCCAACAGATAAAACTTTATTGATATTAATAGAAAAAAAAAACTAAAAAAATTGAAAACTTAAAATGTCCGTAAACGGCTCAAAAAGAGTCAAAATATTTTCAAAATTGTATGGTGTATAGGAAATGCTAATATAAACATTCAGTGAAATTTTCATGTATCTACAGTAATTCGTTTTTTAATTACAACAAAAAAAGGAAATTGCCACATGAGAAATCGAGTGAATATCCAATGTTGTAAAAATTTGAATTTCAAACGTTCATAAAAATTTAATTTGACTTTCCGGTAGAAATTTTTTTATTGATAAAGGTAGACAATCTTATGAGTAATCTTGTATTAGATTTTCAAATCTTAGATTTAAAAAGAAAAATTTTTACGAATTCTTAACTCAAAATAATTTGCTAATTTTCGTGATTTTTCTATATTTTGTCAATTTTTGAACTTTAAATGCTTATAAAAAAAAACGGTGACTTACGATTTTTAATATTTTTAATCTGCCTTTGAAACAATATACTAGGAGCCTTCTATTAAATTTTCAAGTTTTTTTAACCAACAAATACAATTTTATTGATATTTCTAGAAAAAAAACTAAAAAAAAATGAAAAATGAAAATGTCCCTAAACAGTTCAAAATAAATCAAAATCTTTTGAAAATGTTATCGTGTATAGAAAATGCAAATATAAACAACCAGTGAAAATTTCATGTATATACGTTCATTTATTTTAGAGTTACACCAAAAACCAAAATCGATTTTTTGGAAAACCGATTTTGCGTAAAAATTCCCGTTTTTTCCTTAATTTTTCTTTTGTTTTTCCCGGCGCTTTTGAAAACTACTGGGAAATTTAAATTTTGACCTCCCCAATGCACCAACGATATTCACTTTCCAATCGAACAAGATACTGAAGTCGAAAATCGAAGCATTATTTCGACTACTTATCGTGTACTCAGACACAAAAAAAATAAAAAAAAAATACACACATCATTGTAAAATCAATACATTCATCGTTTCACTCAGAATCTAAAAAATATATTTAAATATGTAAAATATGTAGAAGAATAGTTAATGATTCTAATTCAAATTTAGATTAATTTATGAAGAGCTATTGCTAATAATCTTAAGTATTAACAATTATTATATTTATTTTTTATTATGAAAGAATTATTAGAAAACATTTTATATAGGACTGCAGGGGCGTATAAAAGGGTGATGTGGGGGGTCAGATCCCCCCATAGGCATTTTTTTTTTAAATTTTATAAAATAGTGTTCTTAATGACTTAATGTAAGGAAATTACAAGGAAAAAAAATGGCAAGGATTTTTTGTAAATTTTTATTTTAACACAATATTCAACAATTAATTAAAAATAATTTACTTAATATTAATCAGTAATCATATATTTATTTCATATTCATATAATCGTATTATGTGATATTTGATAATATGTATATTATATAATATACAAGTATAATAAATTATTATAAGAATAATAATATGTGGCAGACCAGCCACGGGCCGTCGCCACCGTCACCGATATCAACGCGGCGGAGACGACGCCCGCATGTCCGTGCGTATAATAAATAATAATACATTTTCCTATACATTAGAAAAAGAAATATTATTATGGTATAATATAAGGTTATTGCACGATGGTTTTTACGCATTTATACCAAAACTGACAGTGGCGTCCACAGGGGGGAGGCTAAAGGGCTGAAGCCCCCCCCATTGCCCGTATTATTACTACTTTTCAAAAAAATATTAATCAAGTTTAAACTGTCAACTATAGTAAATTTCATATATGTCTTACCAGAATGAATTCATTTTTGAAAAAACATTGTATTTGCATAAAAATGTTCATAAATTATCTGTAATTTTTCGGTAAAAGTATGAACTACTTGTATGAAAGACCTCGTATTAAATTGTCTAGCCTTAGATATACATGTTTTATATTTTATAAGTTTTGAACTACAAATTAACCGTGCAGGTTTTGACGAAATTTGATCTTTAAATGCTTATAAAAAATAACCATCACAGTACGTGTGTAACCGCCGACCGATTCACACGTGTGTTCACGGTCTTCGCTTATCGCATTTCTTAGCTTCCGATAGCAGTAACACACACGTCGCATTACGCAACTCACTGCAATTAAGAAGGTATGTTGTTATACTACGGCCCCCCATAACCAAATAGGTAACAACTTCCACCCCCGCCTTATACACCATCATGGACAACCATGATACACACATAACCCCCAATTCACAATCTAACTCACACAAAACATTCGCGGAAACAACAGCGAACTCATCCTTTCCAAAAAAAGACCAAGCAATTATCTTCAATACAGTAAATGACGTCCCGCAAATCGAGTACATCAAAGCATTCAGCCAACTTACATCGCCTAATAACATAAAATTCGCTTCACGAATATCCAACAATAGATTCTGCATTTATTTTGCTAGTAAGAGTATCGTTGACCATATTATCTCAAAACAATCGTATATCGTTATAAATAACACGCAAATCGCTTATCGTCGGCTCATTAGCCCGGCAAAACGAATCATCATATCCAATGTGCAGCCATCTATACCTCACGACATAATTATAAAAGCTATTAACAATAGCCTCATTAAAATATTATCTCCCATTACATTTATGAAAGCCGGTTTCTCAAACGATGAATACGGTCACATAGGCAGTTTTCGACGACAAGTATATTTACATCCCGACGATATCCATAGACTACCGAGTTCATTATTAATTAATTACGATCAAACCGATTATCGCATATTCTTCTCGGACGACACCGTGTTATGCTATATCTGCAAACAAACTGGTCACACCTCAAACCACTGCAAAAAAGATTTGGATAATACGATCTTAACTAATAGCAATATCCCTCCTCCGCCGGAAAACAAAGAAATCGAAAAAGATAATAACTCACAAAATGATCAAAATATCATGGACCATACTAACATAAATCATAGTATCGAAAACAATTATCAACAATCTGTCAACAAGCTGACTCCCCTTCAAGAACCAGCTGACCACATTAAAAGACCTATCTCATCATACGCCAGCACCAGCGACACCGACAATGCATCCACCACTGAGAACCCTATAAACACGTCACCAACAACACCTACGGAAACTCAAAACCATCAAACCAATAATAGCATCCTCACAACAAAGCTATTAGAATCCCAATCCAACGAAAAAAAAAAAACAAATGCAGGAATAACACATAATACACCCCTAACACCAATTAAGAGCACAAATATAAGCAAGCCTACCACCGAAAAATCCAAGAAAAATCCTCAACCCGCCAACAAAAAAATTAAACGCTCCAACTCCATAGAACTAATAGTAGCTAAACTGGACGAAACACTAGCCCCAGCCATAACTGTTTTTGAAGGAATCCCCAACCGTAAAATAGACTTCAATCAGCTCAAATACATTATTGAAAACTCCCTCAGCGTGGATCATCCCTCTAATATTCTAAACCAATTTAACATAACCCCGATGGAAATGATTGAAATATTAGACACGATTCGTCCGAAAATAAAAAACCTCTCGATTAAAAACAGGCTCACGAGACTATGTAACTCATATCTCGAGTCATTATGATTACGCAATCCCTCTTCAGTATAAATAATAAATAAAGCAAATAATTAAAAAATCATCTTCTCAAAATTATACAATAATCATCTTTACAAACACCAAATGCAGTCACAACCAAAAAATATTATACAATGGAACCTCAATGGACTCCATAAAAACATCGATGAAATTAAACTTATAATAAACTTACATCAACCTATTGCAATATGTCTTCAAGAGACTAACCTTAAATATGACGAATCTCCACCTTATATAAATAACTACCAATATGCAACTAAAAACCGTAGAGGCTGTCTGAGGGCAAGCGGTGGTGTCTGCATACTCATCAATAACTCATTTCCTTGGGAGGAAATCCCTATCCATTCAAACATAGAAGCCGTCGCAATATCAATCACACTCGAAACAAAAACCACCCTCTGTAATATCTACATCCCAAATCAATTCAACTTCACACTCATAGATTTAGAAAATATTATCAAACAATTACCACGTCCCTTTATTATTGTCGGGGACTTTAACAGCCACAGTATTACATGGGGTTCATATAAAACCGATTCAAGAGGAAAAATAATAGAAAAATTATTGGAACAAGATAACATCGTAATACTTAATAACAACGAGCAAACTAGAATAAATCCCTCGAACAGAAACCTTTCAGCTATCGATTTAACGTTCTCTACACCTACCATAGCACAAAGATTACACTGGCAAGTATTAAATGAAATATACAATAGTGACCATCTCCCAATCTCTATACAATTCATTTCCAATGCACTTCAAACAAACTACTCTACAACAAAATGGAACCTCAAAAACCCTGACTGGCCTCTATTCGCAAACCTTCTGGAAACAAAAATCAACGCGTCAGAATTCACGGATGAAGATATAGATATCGAAAAAACAGTATCCAAATTCACTGAAATCATCATAGAGACTGCAGAACAAACAATAGGCTACTTGAAACCCCCCTCCAAAAAAACACCGGTTCCGTGGTGGAACAATGAAATTAAACAATATATATCACAAAAAAATAAAGCACTGAAAACATTTATAAAAACCAGATCACTCGAGGACCATATAAAACTAAAAGAACTCAGAGCAAAAACAAGATTCTTGGTCAAAAGTAATAAAACTCTAACATGGCGAAACTTCACCTCCGAAATAGGTGCCCAGGTTGATCCCCACATTATGTGGAACAAAATCCGTTCATTACAGGGACGGAAAAAGCACAGTAATATCTATCTCTCCACAAACTCATCTTTAAACACCGATCCATCTTCAATTGCCCACCACCTTGGAAAATATTTCGAAAAAAACTCCAGCAATGAAATGTACAGCCACGACTTCTTAAGGGAAAACGAAAACATACCATCACCTCAACCCTCCGTAATATCGCCCCAAAATACTAATCAGTCTTACTTAAACAGCCCTATAACAATTAATGAAGTTTTGAAAACTCTCAAAAAATGTACCAGCAAAAGTACCGGACCAGACAATATCCCTTATAGCTTTATTCAAAACTTTACAATCGACACACTTAAAATACTCCTAAAAATATACAATACCATCTGGAACAACAACGTATTTCCACAAAATTGGAGAAACAGTATCATCATACCGATAAGCAAACCAGGAAAAAACAAATTCTCAACTGATGGCTACCGACCCATTTCACTTTTAAATACCTTGTGTAAACTCCTAGAGAAAATTGTAAACCAACGTTTAATATGGTTTTTAGAACAGTCTTATTATCTCACCCCCGAACAATGCGGGTTCCGGAAAAATAAAGGTACATATAACTGCCTTTCCAAAATTCACGCAGAAATACAAAACACATACTCCGAAAATCAATACTTAGGTATGATCAGTCTCGATTTGATGAAAGCCTACGATACAACATGGAAACCGCACATTTTAAACAGTCTCACTAAAGTACTAAGCCAAAACCAAATGTTCAATTTTATTAGTAACTTTCTTAAAACAAGAACATTTCAAGTAAGAATCAACCAAACTCTATCCAAGACTTTCTCACAGGCTAACGGAGTCCCTCAAGGATCTTCAATTTCGGTTACGCTCTTCCTCATAGCCATCAACAATATCACACAGAACATTTCTCCACCTGTCCATTCTACACTCTTCGCGGATGACTTTAATATTTACTGCCGAAGCAAGAGCTTAGCAACCGTCCAAACCCACCTACAACAAGCCATCAACAATCTGCTTAAATGGACCCATACATCTGGCTTCACTTTCTCTCCTGAAAAATCACAATGCACTGTGTTTACACGTAGGCGCAATCAAAACGCTATAAACATAAAAATGGGTGAATACCAACTAATAAATAATAATACAATTAAAATCCTCGGCATCATATTCGACAGAAAATGTTCCTGGACCCACCACATCAACTCCTTGAAAAACTCAATTTCTCCACGTCTCAATGTTATAAAAATGTTATCCCACACATCATGGGGTTCTAAAACTCATGTTCTATTAACAATATACAAGTCACTTATACTTTCTAAATTCGATTACGGATCCTTCATTTGGACAACGGCACATAAATCAATATCAAAGAAACTAGATACAATCCACAACTCAGGTCTCCGTATGTCAATTGGCGCTTATCGTTCAAGTCCAATTCCTAGTATCTATAATCTTGCCTGCACACAACCTCTAGACATAAGAAGACTCAAAATTACATTGAATCACGAATTAAAATTAGCAAGTACCCTTCCTACTCTTGACTTCAAACCAATATTTCAAATGTTACCATCATTACTCCAGGAGAACAACCTTGATACTTCCAAAATACTCACTATTACTCCCTCTCTCACCCCCCAATGGAAAAATCTCATTGAAACCAACACTGAACTTTCTATATTCAAAAAAGACGACACACCCCCTTCCATCTACAAAAAAGAATATTTCCACATAATTCAAAACATCACAAGTGAAAAAATGTATACAGATGCATCCAAAAGCCAAAACGGGGTTGGCGCTGCAGTAATCTGGAATAATTCGGAACTCATGTATAAACTTCCTAGCACTTGCTCAGTTTTCACAGCAGAGTCAATCGCCATATTAAAAGCACTCGACATAATAACCGATCATCACCTACAAGACACCATTATCTTCACTGACTCCCTCAGCGCTATCAACAATATTAAAAACACATATAACCCATCAGACATCGGCCTACATATTCAGAATAAAATCCACACTTTACAATACCATAATAATTTCAAAATCAAACTCTTCTGGATCCCCGGACATTCGAGCATAAAAGAAAACGAACTAGCTGATCTCGCCGCCAAATCTGCAATCTCCTCTCCACTATCAACGTCCTCACAAATAATCTCTTCCAGCGACATACGATCACTTATAACAAAGAAATGTCAACAAACATGGCATCAGAGGTGGACTTCTTATTACACAAAATTAAATCGTATAAAACACAACACCGTCAATTGGACATTTCCTATCGAAATCCACAGAAAATTCGAAGTCATAATAACCAGACTCAGAATTGGACATACGAAAATTTCTCACAGTTTCCTAATGGCCAAGGAAGAACCACCCATGTGCCCATCCTGTGGTGTCCAAGTCACCATCAGTCACATCCTCACCGAATGCCAAACATACCACAATACCCGAACCAGCCACAACCTGCCCGAATCACTCTCCGAAATATTAAGCAACCACCCTCAATCCATAGTCAACATCATCAAATTCATCACAGCCGCCAATCTTCAAACCAAAATTTAGTACAATTTAGATTTAGTAAATAATATTTATGTATCTATAATCTCCTCTCTGTAAGCCCAATGGCCCATGTTGCCGAGGGTATAAATATAAATAAAAAAAAAAAAAAAAAAATAACCATGATGCCTATGTATTGTTAATATTTTAGCTATAATAAAAAAACTTACTTATTACATTTTTAAGCTTTTTGACCGGATAAATATTTTTTTATTGACATTTATAGAAAAAAAATTTTAATTAATCAAATACAATTCAAATTAAGACGGTATAACCAAGCTTGTTACCAAACAATTTAAATAAATTTTCATTTTTTTTCTCCAATTATTTTTGAAAGCACTAAGAATTTTCAATTTCGACTTCCTAAAAGTACTAACTATATCCAATTTGCTTCCAAAAACATACATTGGGCATCGAAGCTTATGATCAGAGCATTTTTTCTACCAGAAGAGTTGAAAAGTTACAAACATTTTAAAATACCCCAAATAAACGTCTGCAATTATTAGACTGGACAAAACAAAAATTAAATTGTAACTAATTTTCAAGCCCCTCCCTTTAAAAAATCTTGCGGACGCCACGGCAAAACATTATCAATTTTGTATATTATCAACTAACATGGATATACCTACAACATACTAGCTAATAGCTATCAGTAATTTGTTCATTGAAAGCTAAAAATAACTTAAATAATAAATATTATTGACTAAAAAAAAAAGAAAATTAAATTTTGTTCTATAATTACTTGTAGAATTTAAAATAAAATGTATTGAATATATATATATGTTTTATAATTTATTAGGTATTTAAATGAGCACATACCTAGGTTTAGGTATTTTCGTTCCATAATAATTTGTTTGCAACTGATCCCCCCCATACAAAAGTTATGTATACGCCACCGTATAGGAGTAAACAGTAGGTACTTCTAAAAATTTAAATTTTAAAAGTTTTATTTTCTAAATCATAGTGTTTCTAAAACTTATATTCTAAAACTCAGCATTCTAAAATATGACTTTCGAAAACCTGCCTCAATACTCCACCATACCACCTTGCATATAGTTCAAGGGGACGGGATAGAGTGAGAGAAAAGGAACTATTCGTTTAGGACAATCTTGTTAAAAGATACTTTTAATTTGTATTTAAATAGAGATACAAATACATCAACTTAAAAAGTATTTAAATAGTATTTAAAGTACTTTTTTCAATAAGTATTTAAGAACAAATACAAATACTTAGAAAGTATTTAA